CCTCTAAATACATTTCTTTTCCTCTTTCATAGGAGTCTCATTCTTTCAGACTGGGAAGTCAGAAGCAAAATTAAAGTTTAACAACTTGAGGGTTGTTTGTTTTGTTTTGTTTTTTTCTGTTTCGCATTAACATTCCTTACCTTGGGTGTATCTACGCTTTCTCTGCTTTTGCTTTGAACCTGCCCCAAAACTCTGTGTTATCTTTAGCATTTTTCATGAGCCACACTTCAGGAAGTTGGAGAAACTGCTCCCTGGTGGCAGAACCACAGAACTGCAGACTCTTTCCCCCATAATTGCAGTGAAAGTGATCTTTTAGGCTTCTTCAATTATTTCCTTGGAAGAATATCTAGAAAGATAAGGTCAAAGGGCATAGGTAATCACGTGTGGCCAAACTGCCTTCTCACTGAGATGCAGCAACTGAAACTCTTGCCAACAGGGTTGAACAGGATAGAACAGCGTCCCGGTACGGGAACTGCTGTCCTGCACCCAGACGTCCTGCTTTCATTTCACATTTCTTGGATTCTTTCTTTTTTTTGGTTTTCTTAAAGATTTTATTTATTTATTTGACAGAGAGAGAGAGAGACAGCAAGAGAGGGAACACAAGCAGGGGGAGTGGGAGAGGGAGAAGCAGGCTTCCCAATGAGCAGGGAGCCCAACGGGTCTCCATCCCAGGACTCTGAGATCACGACCTGAGCCGAAGGCAAAAGCTTAACGACTGAGCCACCCAGGCGCCCCTCTTGGATTCTTTCTGAAAAATCAGAAGAATATATGTTGGCAGCTTACATGTCTGGCTTTCAAAGTGCCTGTTTTCTTCCAACAATCAGACCTTTTTCATGTTTTATGCAGTCCTCAGACTTCTCTATGAACAACCCTGAAAGTTCCATCTTTATTCCCAGATCCCCATTGCTGGCTTCTTAGTGGGGAAGCACCACCTGACTGGTGTGAGATGTAGATGGAAAGAGTGGTCCCTAAATTAGAAAGTCTAGGGACCAAGATGCGACTTGAGGGCCAGTTCGGTTCCTCAGCTTTACCACTTCTGAGCTGAGAGGGCTCGCAGACTGCAGCTCTCCCGAAGGGGGAGAGAGGCATCCCAACGAAGGGCAATCCTGGTTTTCCTCCTCATCCGTTCCTCAGAGTTGTCATCTCGGCTGTCCTCGGGCGAACCCTGGCCAGAAACTTGGTGTCAGTTCACCATATCCCTCTGTTTCTGCCAGAGTTACTCAGCTTCACGTCTCAGCAAACTTCCCCAAGCACGCCAGCCTCAGAGATTTCCAGACTCATTAAGTTCTCAGGAGAAACCCCAAAGGATTTTGCTAATAATTAAAGGAAGTTCCTGGGAGTTCTAAGCACCATAACTTTATTACCATTCCTGGTGGAGCTGGACAGGTCTGGATTTGGGGGAAGGAAGAAGCAGCAAAGGAGCTGCTATTTAGAACAGCTGTGTTTTGGGCACCTGGGTGGCTCCATCAGTTAAATATCTGCCTTCCGCTCAGGTCATGAGTCCTGCATCAGGCAAGAGCCTGCTTCTCCTTCTGCCGGCTGCTCTCTAGCTCTCTCTCTGACAAATAAGTAAATAGAATCTTTGGAAGAAAAAAAAAAATAGAATACCTGTGTTTTGCCAAGCAATCTGTCACAGGTTCACATTTGCGACAGTTAGGGAGAGCAATCTCCAGAGTAAAGATTGACTCTTGTTTGAGGCTTGACTTCTGTTTTCATATTGGCCTTGAATTACATAACCGGATTTTCAAGGTGAAAGTCTTGATGATAGATGTATTCTGTGACATTCCCGGTCAGCCAGTCCCCTGAGCACTTATATATCTGCATGTGGAACTCGATGGTTCTCTCCTGACCCACTCTTTCCAACTGTAAAAGGAAGTAAATGAACCCAACTTTTAGGGGGTTCACAGGGATAAGAAAGTAGATATAAAAGCACCTGAGATTTTTAGGAAGAATGGAGTTCTTGCTATGAGTTATAGTTATGAGTCTTTCCTTTCTGCCTATAAAATGCACAGATCTCTCCCTCTCCTTTTTAAAAACACTCCGCTGGGGCTCCTGGCTGACTCAGTCAGTGGAGTATGAGACTCTTGATTTCAGGGTCATGAGTTCAAGCGCCATGTTGGCTGTAAAGATTACTTAAAAACAAAACAAAACACTCCCTTAACACTGGACTTCTTGTGAGTTAACACACTTTCCACGTACTCTTCATAGCAGGTTCTTTTTTTTTTAAAGATTTTTTATTTATGTACTTGACAGAGACACAGCGAGAGAGGGAACACAAGCAGGGGGAGTGGGAGAGGGAGAAGCAGGCCTCCTGAGGAGCAGGGAGCCCGATGTGGGGCTCGATCCCAGGACCCTGGGATCATGACCTGAGCTGAAGGCAGACGCTTAACGACTGAGCCACCCAGGCGCCCCCATAGCAGGTTCTTAAGAGAGAGAAATCTATTCATGTTCACTTCACCTTTGACTCAGAAATTACATTTCTATAATTTTATCCGAAGGGAATATTGGGTATGTATAGGGGCACCTGGCTGGCTCAGTCGGTAGAGCCTGAGACTCTTAATCCCACAATAATAACGGACGGGACAAAGAAAAATGGAGCAAAGGTCGTTCACCAACTGTCTCTTCAAGGAAGGGTCTAACGGCTGACTTACTTCTGTTTACATTCTGCCAGCGTGTTTATCTAAGGGAATTGTTCATCTATCAGAGAAGAAAGGAACTGTGAATGTTATTAGTTGGACTCGAGACTTGAGTTGATGAGGGTTGAATTTTGGGCAAAGAACAACTCGGATAGTTGGTCTGAAAGAGTCATTTTTCCATCTGTTTGAAGGTTCCCAGGGTCCAGTTTTATATGTCCCTGTCTGGAGGGGAGGTGATCCTACCGGGATGCCTTGCTCCTATACACAATTCATACATTTTTTGGTGCCTAATCTGTTTTATAAAGTTGCTATCTTCCAAACCTCTCACTCGTGTGTTCCAACCCCCAAGGCTGGTATCGCCGCCTTTGGCTCAGCCAAACAGAGGCTACTTCTGTCAACCAGTTCCTTGCCCATGGCCGAAGCTCATTCACTTATTGTTTATTTAAATAAATTGTTCTTTGATTTGGATTGTACCCAGTTCCACATGAGAAATAGAAGAGCGAGACACAGGTCTCTTCTCATATTTTGACATTAGGTCAGGGAGACACACAAAGCAATAGAAAATAAGAGAAATGCTGTATCTAATCAGATGCTAAGAAGGGTGGTCCAGGCCACAGTTGATAGAAAAGTTCGGTACGGGGGCGCCTGGGTGGCTCAGATGGTTAGGCGTCTGCCTTCGGCTCAGGTCATGATCCCAGGGTTCTGGGATCGAGTCCCACATCGGGCTCCCTGCTAGGCGGGGAGCCTGCTTCTCCCTCTGCCTCTGCCTCTCTCTCTCTCTCTCTCTCTGACTTTCATGAATAAATAAATAAAACATTTAAAAAAAAAAAAGAAAAGTTCAGTACGATTCCTAAATGTAAGGAAGGTTGATAGTAAAGAATTTGGCTTTGCCCAAAGAGAGATCTGGCTTTTGCCCTTGGCTTCTGCGAAGTAATCTGTGTCAAACCTAAGAGCAGTATCTTTGGGGTTTTCGGGCCAGGGCTTTGGGCCATACAGGGTCAGCCCACCTGGAGGCTGAGGTCAACCACATGGACAGTCAATCAATCATGCCTAAGCAATGGAGCCCCAATAAAAACTCTGCACACCAAAGCTGCAGTGAGTTTCCCCAGTTGGTTGGCAGTACTCCTTGCATGTTGTCACACATCACTGCTGGCAGAATAACACGTCCTGACTCCCCAGGGAGAGGACAATAGACCGTTCACATTCAGAACCCTCTCAGACTCTGCCCTATGCATCTCTTCCTTTGGCTGATTTAATCTGTATCCTTTCCCTGTAAAAAACTATAACTGTAGGGACGCCTGGATGGCTCAGTTGGTTAAGCATCTGCCTTTGGCTCAGGTCATGATCCCAAGGTCCTGGGATCAAGCCCTGCGTCGAGCCCCCTGCTCAGCGGGAGCCTGCTTCTCCCTCTGCCCCTCACCCTGCTCGTGCTCTCTCTCTCTCTCTCATTCTCTGTCAAATAAATAAATAAAATCTTTTAAAAAGAGAGAGAGAGAGAGGTGGGTATCTATTTTTAAGACTATGAATAGGGGCGCCTGGCTGGCTCAGTCAGTGGAGCGTGCAAATCTTGATCTCGGGGTCATGGGTTTGAGCCCCACTTTGGGGGTCAGAGATTACATTTTAAAAATTCAATAAATAAATAAACAAATAAAAAGACTATCAATAATATCCTCAAATTGAGGTCAAATTGAGGCTTTGGCCCCATATTAGGTGCTGCCATAGATCAATGCACAAAAAAGAGACGTAAGAGGTCTAGATAGGTCTAAGGTGTGGCCAAGTGGAGACACAGATAAGGTGCAGATCTCTGCTCCTGAGACCAGCCCCACTGTGCTGCAGCCCCGTCGGAGGGAGGATGTTGCTGGCTCCCTAGGGCTAGAACATCTTGACTCTGCAGTCAGAAAGCCCGGGTTCAAATCCACCTCCAACAGCCTTGCAAGCAGGCTACCTAACATCGTCTGTAGAGGCTCCTTCACCAAATGTTCATGAGGTTAAATGAAGCAACACAGCTTTGTACTTTTTATTAAATCGCTATTGCTATTATTCTTGTAAAGATACATATCATCCTGCGGTGTGTCCACATTTGTTCCTAACCCATACGTCTCCCCAGCTTCGGATCAAAGCCTTGTCTCTTTGGTGTCGGTCTCCTCCCCTCAGCAGCGAGCACAAAGCCCCAAAAGTGTGTTGTGTGGAGGTGTGCACTGGTTTCTAGTTGTGTCACGTTTCTAAGTCTTACCTCTTTAACTGAAATCTGGACCTTAAGGGTGCCCCCCACCCCATACAATTCCTATCATGGGTCTGACACACACCTACCAGAGCTTAGGGAGAAGTTCACACCTGATTAGAAAAGGTGTTTCTTCCTTCCAGGGACTTCCCAGATGACCCAGATGTGCAGTGGGACACAGAGCGTGTGGCTAGCATCCTTCTCCAGCACATAGATGCGAATGGCATCAACCTGGTAAGCGGACACCCTCCCTGAATGCAAAGCTGGGGATCCCGGTCACACCTTTACCTGTGGCTGCCCTCCCCTAGACTCTCTTTTAAACCTACAGAGGGGGGTGCCTGGGTGGCTCAGTCGGTTAAGCGTCTGCCTTCGGCTCAGGTCATGATCCCAGAGTCCTGGGATCAAGTCCCACGTTGGGCTCCCTACTAGGCAGGGAGCCTGCTTCTCCCTCTCCTTCTGCCCCTCCACCCAACTCATGCTCTCTGTCACTCACTCACTCTCAAATAAATAAATACAATCTTTGAAAAAATAAAAATAAAAAAGGGACGCCTGGGTGGTTCAACCGGTTAAGCATCCACCTTTGGCTCAGGTCATGATCCCAGGGTCCTGGGTTTGAGTCCCACATTGGGCTCCTTGCTCAATGGGGAGCCTGCTTCTCCCCCTCCCTCTGCTGCTTCCCTTGCTTGTGTGCACTCTCTCACTCTCTCTGATAGATAGATACATACATAGGTAGATAGATAGATAGATAGATAGATAGATAGATAGATAGATAGATAGATAGATAAAATTTAAAAATAAACCCACAGAGGACCAAACACACCTTTTGTGAGACTGTGTAACCAAACTGTCAGGCTCAGGTGGAGGCAGGGGTTTTTTTCCAAACTGTCCTCTTTAACCATCCCCAACCCCAGCCTCTGTCCTGCCATCTAAAAACTCAGGGCCCCAGGAGCCCGAACTATACTCCTATTTATACAGAACTTCACCTTTTACCAAGCATTTTCATATTTAGGGGACCATTTCAACTTTAAGAGGCAGATGTCACTATAATTTTCATTTGACATTGAGGAAACTCAGGTTTCCAGAAGCTGAGAAGCTTGCCCGAGGTCAGCAAGGGGTGAAGCTAGGATTTTAAGCCTCAATTTCTCACTCCAGAAAACACAAGGATATATTCACATGCACTGCTGGGAGAACATTTTAGTCACAGATAGAGCAATGGCGGAGATTCATATTTACTTGCAGAGGTGAGCCAGGGTGGGAGCCCCCATCTCAGCTCTACTGGGACCCTCTGGACCGGGCCTTGCCAGTGGTCAATATTAAGGCAGCTGAGAAGGCTTATGTCCACCTCTAAAATGATAATAATACTCCTTCATGGGTTAATGCCTAAAATTCTACCACTTAAAGCCCTAAGCTTTTGGTTTATGTTTTGATGAGTTCTGCTGGCACAGAAACAGTGCTAAATTCACTGAGTGAAATGATTTATTAGACCTTTTTTTTTAAAGATTTTATTATTTTTTTTTTTTAAGTAATCTCTACAGCCAACGTGGAGCTTGAAATTACATCTCTGAGATCAAGAGTCACATGCTTACCGACTGAGCCAGCCCGGTTGCCCCTATTAGACCTTTCCTAAGAGCAGATTTTCGGTGACATATTGGTCAGACTGTTCCTGGTTTTTTTCTTTTTTTTTTTTTTCGGCGTATTTCATGTAGCTGTTTCCTTCCTTCCTTCCTTCCTTTCTTTTCTTTTCTTTTTTTGGTGTTCACATATTTTTATTTATTTATTTATTTTTAAAGACTTTATTTATTTCACAGAGAGAGACAGCGGGAGAGGGAACACAAGCAGAGAGAGTGGGAGAGGGAGAGGGAGAAGGAGGCTCCCTGCTGAACGGGGAGCCAGATGAGGGGGCTCAAGCCCCCAGGACCTTGGGATCGTGACCTGAGCCGAAGGCAGACACTTAACCGACTGAGCCACCCAGGCGCCCCTATTTTTATTTAATTATGTTTACTGAAGACCGTCTTGTTTTCTCATGACAGAAACACAACTGAAACTTAGCCCACACAGGCCAAAAGGGACACCTAAGGGTCTCCCTCGGATTCACATAAAGGTGGAGATGCAGGTGGGCCCCGCTCCCGGTGGGGCTGTTCTCCATCTTGCTCTGGGCTCTGGCTTCATTCTTTTTTCCTGACTGGAAAAAATGGCCACCAACAGCTTGCAGCCTCATACCTCCTGGCTTTACCTTCCAAGAGGATCTGAGTGTGAAAGCCGGAGGGAAGGGTCCATGGGCTTTGGAGTCAAAGGCCCAGCCCTGCTGACTGGGTTTGCCTGCTTCTCTTGTCCACCCCACCCCAGCCCACACAGGCAGAACTCGTCAGGGCTCCACAGCCCAGATGGGGAGACAGCTGGTCTCGGGGGCTGGGCTGAAGTAACACAGTGATGTCCGTGAAGTGTGCTGCAACACCCCTGGGGACCCCGTTTTCCCGTAGGAGGTAGGAGTAGCTTCCCCAGGCCTGGCCCTCAGATACTCTCTCTCCTCCCCTACTTCAGTGCATGCAACTGCTGGTTATCCCAGTCACTTCACTTGTGAGATAAACTCCTGTCTTTCTGAACTTGGCCCCTTTCAGTCTGGCCCTTAAGTACGGCACACTGGTGAACAGGATTGGTCCTTGCCAAGGGGCCAGGTTTCAATATTTTAGACCATGTTACAGCTGACCACAGCTCTGAGCGTGCAGAGAGGGGTCTCAGGGCACAGACAGCTCTGCGTGCCATTCTTGCTCTCAGAAGAGTCTCCCAAGTTTCTGCCCCAGAAAAGCGATTTGTGATCCAAGCCCCATCTCAAGACCTCCTTCTCCAAGAAGCCTTCCGTGATTTCTTCAGCCCTCTTTGGGAATCCTACAGAATTTGGTGTGTATCCCAAGAGTTGCTGCTTATTCTTTGAAGTACAGACCATGTCTTACGAACTAGACTGGAGGGTCCGTGAAGGCAAGGACCGCCATGACATTTTTATACCCCCAAGAACGAGAACAGGCCCCAGACCATGCTTGTCCCCAGACTGCCCAGACGGTTAGCTGCCACCTGGCTGCCTGGAGCTCTTTCCTCTTGTCTGAGGCGCTCACGTTCATTCCAATTAGTGAGGGCCCTTTATCATCAGGATGATCCTGAATTGATTTAATTTCCATACACAAGGAAACCATTTTATTTTATTTTTTTTTTAATTTTTTTTAAAGATTTTATTTATTTATTTGAGAGAGAGAGAGAGCACATGAGGGGGGGGAGGGTCAGAGGGAGAAGCAGACTCCCCGCCGAGCAGGGAGCCCGATGCGGGACTCGATCCCGGGACTCCAGGATCATGACCTGAGCCGAAGGCAGTCGCTCAACCAACTGAGCCACCCAGGCGCCCAAAGAAACCATTTTAAAACAGCTCTTTAACTCACCTTGCTCTTAATAAGGAAACTCTCAAGCTGTCACGGTGCAGTGAGGAATAATTTCCCCAGCCTGCACTTAATGCAACAGTCGGAGTATAAGGGCCACGCCAACACCATTGCCAATATGGACGTAAGTGGCCATAATCATGCTCGGCCCCCACGATGCAGTGAAATGCCCTTTCGCACAATCCCACAGGCTCTGCCGGGTCAGGGGCGAGGGCTGAGTAGTAGGCAGGGAAGAAGTCACCCGGTGGCAGGATCCGAGGGCCCAGGTGCCCCCTCCAGACCGGAAGTATTGGCTGCGCAATGAGAGAAGACCAACAGGGAAGCAGAGACGGAAGGGAGGAGCACCGAGCTAAGACATGGGGAGAGAGATTCTCACCTGGGCTGTGCTGGGATGATACCAAAAGCTCTCCTCTGCCCCAGCTGAAATCTGGCTCTGTAGTCGTTAGCACCGTGCGATGGAAGGAAACAGGATGCTCTCTGGTCCCAGCCCCACCATGTGTGCTGAGCTGCCAGGATATGGCTTTGAAAAGCATTATGATGCTGCCCTCTACCGAAAGCAGCCTAGGGGTTTGGTTGTGCCTTTCGGTGGCAAGCAGCCTAGGTCCAGGGCCTGACCCCTATCTCGACTTTTCTTTTTTCTTTTTTTTTAAAGATTTTATTTATTTATTTGAGAGAGAGAATGAGATAGAGAGAGCATGAGAGGGGGGAGGGTCAGAGGGAGAAGCAGACTCCCTGCCGAGCAGGGAGCCCGATGTGGGACTCGATCCCGGGACTCCAGGATCATGACCTGAGCCGAAGGCAGTCGCTTAACCTACTGAGCCACCCAGGCGCCCCTATCTCGACTTTTCATTCAGCAAATATTTATTGAGCACCTGCTATGTGATATTCACTACTTGCTGTGAACTGGTAATATAGCCCTGAACCAAACACAGAGTCCTTGCTCCCTTAGGGCACCATGACATTAGGGCCCCCATCATTGTTTGCTGTGGGGGACGGTCCTGTGCCTTGTACGATGCTTAGCAGCATCCAGGGCATCTCCCCACTGACAGCCCCCCTCTCTACCCAGTGGCAACACCCCTCAGTCATCCCAACAAATCTATCTCCAGACATGGCCAGATGTCCCTGGGGCAACATTGCCTCCAGTTGAGAACCACCATCTTAGAAAAACCAGAGCAGCCCCACCCATTACCTCCTGGGGTCTGGGTAAGATTTCATTTGAACAAGGATTTCCACAACTTTGGGGCATGGCGGAGCGGGGGGCGGGGGGGAGGTGGCGGGAGTTCTGTAAAGAGCTACAGGGGTCACTGTTGTCACGTACAAATCTGCAAAAGTCCAGGGAGCTGGATACAATTCCGCTCAGCCCTCCTTGCGACGGAAAGAAAGAGGGAGCCTCTAGGAAGATGCAGGATGAGAAAGAAATGGAGACCTAGGAGAATTTCAAAAGCAATTGAACAAAACTCCACCGGGCCCCAAATCCCCCCTAACCTAGGAAATGCTCTCCAGCACACCCGGGGTGATGATTAGCCCTGCTGTCATGCTCTCCTAATGAGAGCAGGCTTGGAGTCGAGATGCGCTAGCCCTTCCTGTTGTAGGTACACATTCATAAGCATTTCCCCATGGCGTTCTTGTGTCTTCACCTCAACCCGGTGAGGAAAGCAGAGCAGGTATTACTTTGCTGATCTCGCAAATGAGACGACCCACACATTGAACCTTGAAATAACTTCTAGCAGTCAAGTTCTGTGACTTGCCCAACGGCTGGGGTTAAGTAGGGTCTGAGATAAGAGTAGACTTGAGTCAACACTGTGTTGCATGGAACACTGGGATCAGAACAGGGTACTTGAGTGCACGGTTTTTACGTTTTTTTTGTTTTGTTTTGTTTTTTTAAGTAGGCTCCATGCCCATCGTGGGGCTTGAACTCACAACCCTGAAATTAAGAGTCACATGCTCTACCGACTGAGCCAGCCAGGAGCCCCATGGTTTACGTTTTTTGGTAGACTGTATTCTTTTTTTTTTTTTTTTAAAGATTTTTATTTATTTATTTGACAGAGAGAGACATAGCGAGAGAGGGAACACAAGCAGGGGGAGTGGAAGAGGGAGGAGCAGGCTTCCCGCTGAGCAGGGAGCCCGACGCGGGGCTCGATCCCAGGACCCCGGGATCATGACCTGAGCCAAAGGCAGACGCTTAACGACTGAGCCACCCAGGCACCCCGGTAGACTGTATTCTTTAGAGCAGTTTTAGGTTCATAGCAAAGTTAAGCGGAAAGTACACAGAAACTCCCTGTCCCCCATAATTTTTTACAGTCGATAAACCAACACTGACACATCACCACCCCCGAGTCCATAGTTTACATGAGGGTCCACTTTTGGTGCTGTTCATTCGATGGGCTTTGACAAATGTATAATGACGCATGTCCATGATTTGCTTTTTTTAAGCCTTTAACTCTTTGTTTGTTTTGTTAATTTTCCATTAGGGAGAATTTCAAGCCTGCAACTGTAGAGAGAAGTTTAATGAACTTCCATATTCTTATCACTCGGCTCCTGTAATTATTAACTCACAGTCAATATTAGTTTCATTTAAACAGCTGTTCATCTCCCCCACCTCCTGTATTATTTCGAAGCAAATCTTTGGCATCATATTTCATATTTAAATATTCTAGCATGCATTTCTAGTTGACAACAAGTCCTTTATTAACATAACTATAATGCCATTGTCACACCAAAACATTCACAATTCCTTAATATCGGTGTTTTATATTTCCATTAGTCTCGTGTCATAAATATGTTTTTATTTTGTGCTTATTTTTAGGTGCTTATCCATTGACAGGACTTTAAATTTTCTTCTAATCTACAGCCCCCACCCCCCCACCCTGTGCCCAATAGAGGTTTGCTGCTCTCACTGTAAGAGAGAGTTCTCTATACGTGAAGTCATCATTTTATGATTTAAAATAGAAAGACCAGTAGGGAAGCCCTTCTCAGCCTATACCAATCCCAGTCCTGGTCCCTTTAGTCCATGCGGCACGGCCGCCCACTTTCCTTGGGGACAGCTTGCCTCTTTCCATTACCCCTAACCAACCACTCCTGTTCCTTTTTCTGAGTCCCTGTTCTCTTTGTTATACTTCTTTTATTATTTAAGCTAACAGGATTATTATTCAAACTTATTTGGTCTTTTTTTTAATCCATCTGTGCAGAAATGAAATGTTGGAACCTAGACTAAGCTTATCATTAATAAGTAGATGATACAGAGGCAGTCCGTGAGTAAATAGACTTCTGTGATTTTAACCCCAGGGCATGGTGGACATTGCCTCTCAAAGTCTTTGTGCCCTCAGTACAGCACAAGGAAAAGAGGCCAAATAAATCAGGCAGCATCTACAAGAACAGAGTTCACACCACAGCCAGCCAGGAAAATGAAGTGTGCTAATAAATGGCCAGGCAGATAAGAAACAAAGATACCCTAAACCCAGGTTTCTATCGTGGCGGAATTCCACTGTGCTTCACAGGGCCCCGAACAAGAGTAAACAGTAAAACCCACACAGTCTCCACACACCTGGCCAACTCAATGGTTATATCCCACTGATACACTCCGAAGTGAGTTCAGGTGTACGCAGAATCGGAGACATTTCTGGCCAGGGGAACGGGGACGGCTACTTTGAAATTGAGGCAGAGAAAGCATTCAGTCATGAGTGACCACCCTGTTTCTCTTCAGGTGGTGACTTTCGATGCAGGGGGAGTCAGTGGTCACTGCAATCACGTTGCTCTGTATGCGGCCGTGAGGTAGGACCCTCTGCGTGTTGGAGGGGGGAGAGGGTCTGTTCGTTTGCTCAGGGTGGGTGGTTTCTAAAGCACTTCCCCCCTCACTGTCTGAGCCTCGTGGAACTGACCGCTGAGGTACAGGGAGCCAGCGTTGGCCACATTGCTCACTACATCTCACCAGGCCCTCCGTGTGAGAAATCCCTCCTCAGTCGTCTTAATATTACTGTTTTGTCTCCTCAACTCCTGAGGGCTTCTTCCACAATGAAAAATGGGGTAACATTTTATTTCTCTCTTTGCTTTGGCCACAGAGAGCTTTCGGGCCAAATTCGCAACCCCATGTAGCACATGTGGGAGATTTGAAGGACTGAGTTCTGGTGAATCAGTGTGCCTCTTGGCTTCATCTTCTTTTTCCTCCTTTTTAAAAAAGATTTTATTTATGTATTTGTCAGAGAGAGAAAGAGAGAGAGAGAGAGCACAAGCAGGGGGAATGGCAGGCAGGAGAAGCAGGCTCCCCGCTGAGCATGGAGCCCAACACAGGACTTGACCCGAGGACCCTGGGATCATGACCTGAGCCGAAGGCAGTCACTTAACCAACTGAGCCACCCAGGCATCCCTTTCCTCCTTTTATTCTAATTTCTTATGTTATCTTCCATTGTACATTTTGTACACTATATCAAATCTTTCTTTGGAGAAGGAAGATATACATATGTAATAGGATAACTTTTGTTCTTCATAGCCACCCTATTTTACCGATAGGCATCTGTATTTTCTGGTAAAAAACACAAAAAAATGCTCCTCAAATATACTGAGGGACTTACTCAGGATCATACAAATATATACCATGTTTCCCGCGCTCTAGAGAAGTACTTCTTCTGGGTGCCATGAATGAAGGAGTGGTGGACCTGGCCTAGGGGAAGGGAAGGGGCAACCTGAAGTAAAGGACTTGCTTTCTGACTTTCTTCTAAACATGCCCAACATTCTCAGACTAGAGCAGTGAAATATATAAAGTTGGAAATGATCTCACCTATCATTAAGTCCAACCACCTCATTTAACTGAGGAAGTGAAGTGGTTTTCCCAGTACTGCTGGGCTGAACAATGGCGGAAGTAGAACTGGAATCCATTTCATATGAGTATGTTGTCTGTGTGTTGGTGGTGGGGTTGGACCACTTATCCCATCTTTCCCCATCTCTGCGCTTCCAAACAAAAGCAGGCAAGAGATTTGGAGTTCTTTGTTGGATTGGCCTCACCTTCCTTTAAGGCAGGGAGTACAGAATGGCCTTCACTGTGAGAAGGTGGGAGCAGGGGAGGTCAAAAAGAAAGAACTATCAGGGAAGAAATATCAATTAATATTTTAAAATAGTCTCCTAGGGGTGCCTGGGTGGCTCAGTCGTTAAGCGTCTGCCTTCAGCTCAGGTCATGATCCCAGAGTCCTGGGATCGGGCCCCACGTCAGGCTCCCGGCTCCTCGGGAAGCCTGCCTCTCCCTCTCCCACTCCCCCAGCTTGTGTTCCCTCTCTCGCTGTGTCTCTCTCTGTCAAATAAATAAATAAAATCTTTAAAAAAATAAATAAAAATAAAAATAAAATAAATAAATAAAAAATAAAATAGTCTCCTGTCACACTCATATGACAATTTCAAAAGAGAGAAATTCTGAAGAGTCCATCATAGTTACCTTCATCTCTAATGGGCAAAGCTTGGACCAGGCACTTCATAACTATTGGTCATCCCCCAGATTGGCTGACCTTGGGGAAGGTGCCCACACTTGTCCCTTCAGCTGTAGCCAGAGGTATGGAATCCCAGAAACCTATATGGTGATTGATGCAAAAGAAACTACCTAGAAACCTACAGAGGGATCATAGGGTGTGGCAGTCCTTACTACTGTTGGGGAGGAAGAAATTTTCCTCTGTCCAAGGTTCTTCTAGCTAGACTAAGAATTAAATTTCCAGGAGAGATTAACAGCAGAAAATCAAATTTAATTTTGTCCTACAAAATCCATACAAACATGAACCCATACAAACATGAAATTCCAAAGACTGTCAGGCAACATGAGGCTTATATGGCATCCTGAGCTCAGGAGCGGGACGGGAGTCTGGCATACAAGGAGAGGAGTACCATTAGCAGGAAGGTGAGAGATGTTTGGAAAACAAAGGTGGCCCTGTTGTGCAGATAAGTTTCTTAGGTAAAAAGGAATCTCTATGACTAGTTCTCTTCCTGGTACAGGCCCCCTTTCCAATGTAAGTTTAGGTGGCCGGGGGCGGGGGGTGTAAAGTAGTTTTCCTGAATTTGCTGGGTTTTGATTGCTTTTAACTCAAGGTAATCTACATGCCATTGTGGCCCATCTTGGAGAGGCCTGCCCTTGACCCCTATACTCTGAAGGCTCTTCCTGTTATCTGCAAAGGAATTCTTGCTCCCTCTCACTCCTGTCCTTTCCTCCTCCAGGACCCTGCACTCAGAAGGGAAATTACCTAAAGGTAAGTTGTCTGTTTTGCAAAAGTCTGCAAATTACTATCCCTCTAAGAAACTTATTGGGTGAAATTTGTAAATATATGGAGAACTGCCCTAGGTCAAGCCTCCCTAGGTGGGGCTGGGAAGGCTGGGCCACACTCTTCCTGACCCAGCTCACTGTGTCTGTCCTTGTGGGTCCTCAGGCCCTAATACCAGGTTGTATCCATTGGGAAGTGCCCTGGCAGCCACGCAGCCTCTGGGTGTGAGGGGAGGCCAGATGTGTTAGGAACACAGAACCAATAGGAGATACATATTTAAAAGAGACATATAAACTTGACTCATACAAGTACAGAAGATGAGAAGTCCCACAATCTGCCATCCGCAAAGTGGGGACCCAGGAAAGCTAGTGGTGTAAGTCAGTCTGGGTCCAAAGGCCTGAGAAGCAGGAGAGCCAGTGGTGTAAATCCCAGTCCAAGGACAGGAGATGACCAGCGTCTCAGCTCAAGAGTCAAGCAGAAAAGAACAAATTCTCCCTTCTTCCACCTAGTCTTCTATTCAGGCCCTCAATTGATTGGACCATGCCCACCCATACTGGGGAGGGCAATCTACTTTCCTGAGTTCACTGATTTAAATGCTAGTCTCATCCAAAAATACCCTCCCAGGCACACCCAGAAATAATCAGCCAAACATCTGGGTACCCTGTGACACAGTCAAGTTGACACATGAAATTAACCATGACACCAGGCCTTGCCCACTCATCTGTCTGGCTTTCTCCCTAGGTGAGTCTTTTTCACCTCCAGTGTTCTTTCAGTCTGTCCATCTAAACTCACACCCCAGCTCCTCATTACTTAACCAGGCTATAAACAGCTGATGGGTGCTTGATGGGTTAACCTGCTTGAGTTAGAAAGGTGTTTGACCCCCCCTTGGCCATTTACTGTGTGACACTGATGCTTAACCTCTCTAGGCCAGTTTCTGGTCTGTCAATGGGAATAACAGACATCCCTCAGGAGTGATATGAAGGTGAAGCAAATGAAAACACAGTGGAGTGTACTCTTCCTGAGTGGGCTGGTACCAACCCTGTGAGACAGGCTCCCACACCATCAACACCACTTTACAGATGAGAAAACTGAGTCTGAGAGCTGAAGTCTGTCAGGTCTCGAGCGTCAGAGCAGGAACTAGGTCTCTTGCCTCCCAATCCAGAAATTTCTGGTCTTCATCACCTTTCCCTTGCCCTTGAAGTAGCCAGTTTCCAACCTCTAGCAACCAACCTTGTCTTGCTAGGGCTTGCATAGAGGGCAGCCGGCCAGGTGTTCTGGGGTCCTTTCATTCTTCCTATCTGTGAGCATGATGGGCAAAGAGCACCTTTGGTGCTACTGAGTCATCTGGCAACTCCGTGGCCATGGTCTTGCCCTGCCCTGAGCCCCGAGGGAAGGGTAGGGTGCTCAGGGAAAATCTGCCTGGAAGCAACAAGACTCTTCACTCCTCCCGTCTCTGCTCCTCCCAACCAGGGTGTTCTGTGCTCACGCTTCAGTCAGTGAATGTGTTGCGCAAGTATATCTCCCTTCTGGACCTGCCCTTTTCTCTGCTTCATACCCGGGATGTCCTCTTCGTGCTCACCAGCAAAGAAGTGGCACGGGCCAAGGTGAGTGAGGACTGTGAAATCCCAGACACCTTCCCTCCCATCTGTGTCCCTGGTTCCTCCCGACCCCTAAGCGAAGACCTTCCACAGTGGCTCAGCATCTGAGTGTTAGGACTATCCAGCTAGACCTTGGCAGTCATAGATTATCAAGGACTTTCTCCCTTTTTTCTGATCATAAACATAACACGTGCTTTTTTAAATGTAAAAATATATGCTCATTGTAGAACATCTAGAAATCCTTTATGTAAAAGCATCAAGAAGAAAATAAAGATAATCAATAAAAACTACCCCGAATGCCACCACTCAGAGATAATCATGGTTAATATATATATATTTTTAATGGGATCCCACAGTGCCTACCATTTAAAACCTGTTCTAACAACATTATGACCATTTTCTTCTATGTCATTATGCATTAGAATTGTAATTGGTGCCTGCATTCCCCTGCATGGATGTACATAGAGGAACTCAGACCTGCCAGGAACCTCTATAAAGAGCCAAAAAGACCACCAGAGGCTCATTTGCCTCTTGAAGAAATGTCAGGCCCAGTGAAGCCCTCATAGTGAAAACTCTTAGCTGTCAGTAGAGCAGGAGATTCCAAAAACTATGGAGTTAGGGAGCAGGCAATTAAGGAGAATTGCTCCAATCTGTCTCCAGGTGTGACCCCCAGTTGACTTAAGTCTACCAGGGAGAGAAGAGTAGCAATGAGTAAAACTAAGAGAACTCAGGATAATTATTATTATTATTATTATTATTATTATTACTATTTTGCTTAGCTTTATTTTCTGAACTGTCTGCAGTAAACATGTATACCCACTAAGAGGCACTTTGCTAGATGCTGAGAATGCAACACTGACCAGAAACATGAATTCTCCTTTGTTTTATTTGATTAATTCTGTTAATTTCTGTTCTTTATTTTTGTCCTTTTACTTTATTCAGGTTTTACACCATTATTTTTTTTTTAATTTCTTGGACTGACAAGGTCAGCTTTTTTTCCGTTTTCAATCATTTTTAAAAAATACACTTTAATACTATTAATTTCCCTTGAAGTATTCCTTTGGCTGCATCTGATGAGTTCTGATACATACTTCTGTCACTCAGTTAGAAGTAATCTATAGTTTCCATTGTGAGTTCCTCTTTAATACATGAGGCTTTTAAGGGTGTATTTTAGAGTTTACAAAAGCGTATGTGTGCATATATAGGGTCAATCCTCATTATCCACAGGTTCCATATTTGCAAATGCGCCTATGGGCTAAAATTTACTTGTAACCCCAAAATTAATACGGTGCTTTTGCAGTCACTTGTGGACATTGTATTTGCAGGGCAGTGAAAAGTTTTAAGTTGCCACCAATGCACACACACAGGTTCCCAACTGCGGTTGAACAAGGTGACCCTCTGCCTTCTTGTTTCAGCTCTCATACTGCAAACAAGTATCCTCTCCACAGTATGGTGCCGCCCAATCCAGAGTCATCTGGCAACTCCATGACCATGGTCTTGGTGCCACATTGTTCTCATTTCTGTGCTTTTTGTTGTGATTTTACTGTTTAAAATGTCCTCTAAGTATGCCATTCAAGTGCTGTCTAGTGATTCTAAGGGCACGAAAGCTGTGATACCGCTTACAGAGAAAGTATGTGTATTAGATAAGCTTCAGTCATGTATGAGTTATAGCTCTGGTGGCTGTGAATTCGGTGAATGAATTGATAACATAATATTAAATAAGGTGTCTTTAAACAGAAACACACATAAAACAAGGTTATGTACTGATCGGTTGATGAAAATATTGTGACCAGAGGCTCTCAGGAACCAAAACCTTTATTTCCCCTAGGAACAATGATGTAGTATTGACTAATTCAGGTGTTTGCAGTAACTTTATAGAACGTAGCTACCAGAACAAGAGTCATCCTATAGCCTTTTTATTGTTGATTTAGAATTGAATTGCTTTCTGGTCATTACATGTGGCTTGTGGAATACTGGTTTTTAAAAACTTATTGAGAATTCCTTAGGGAATGACCTACTTTATAATCGGTTTTTGTAAATATTAACATGTTTATCTAAAAAGAATATGTGTACTCTATGGGTTGCATTTCAGATTCTAGATATAGCCAGCAGATTGAGCTTAGTACGTATTTCAGTCACAACTTGTGTATTCTAACTACTTTTTAAACTTTTTGATCTATTACTTTATGATGCAAGTATGTTGAGGTCTCCTACCGTGAGTTTGCATTTGTCCATTTCTTTGTGTTTGCTTTATTTGTGTTGGGTGCACAAAAGATCAAGGTTGTTATATCTTCTTAGTAGACTATTCCTTTTATTATCCTATGTCTCTCATTATTAATGGTTTTGTCTTAAATTCTATTTTAATCTTAACATTGCTGTAAGAGCTTTCTTTGGACTTGGATCTGCTTGGCTCATCTTTTTTTTTTTTTTTAAGATTTTATTTATTTATTTGACAGAGAGAGACACAGCGAGAGAGGGAACACAAGCAGAGGGGGTGGGAGAGAGAGAAGCAGACTTCCCACTGAGCAGGGAGCCTGACGTGGGGCTCGATCTCAGGACCCTGGGATCATGAACTGAGCCGAAGGCAGACGCTGAACGACTGAGCCACCCAGGCACCCCGGCTTATCTTTTTTAAATACATTTGCTATTTTTTTTCTTTAAGTCGGCTCCACAGCCAATACGGGGCTTTTTAATACCTTTATTTTTAACCTTTTGTTGTCATTTTCATTTTTTTAAAGATTTTTATTTATTTTTATTTGAGAGAGAGAGCACGAGTGGGGGGAGGGACAGAGGGAGAGGGAGGAAACAGACTCCCCATCCCCACTGAGCAGGGAGCCCGATGCGGGACTCGATCCCAGGACACTGAGATCATGACTGAGCCGAAGGCAAACCCTTAACCGACTGAGCCACCCAGGCATCCTGATCCTGTGTTCAGAGATTTATGAGCAAGAATGTTCATTAGTATAATTTTTGATAGTCAAAAAAGGAACTAATATTCAGCAGATGAATGATACAGTACTGGATAACCCGCAAAATCATATCTTTGAAGAAAATGTAGTGGAAATGCTCCAAAAAGGGGGGAAGGGATAGAAACAATTTTGATATTTTGTATTCCCTTGGAAAAGTAATAGAAAAACAGTTTGTAAAAAACCAAATTGACGGTAAGTGCCTATTTTATTGAATGGGTGCTGAAAAGCCGTTGAAACGTTAGGGGACGTAAAAATTAGGCCAGTTGGGGCAGGATGATGTGGGAAACTCATGTGACTTGGTAGCTGTTACAAATAGACAAGTCAAGTGTGTCTGGACTACAAAGTGCATCCCTTCTCTCAATGTTTTTCTACAATAACCATTTTGGGGACGCCTGGGTGGCTCGGTGGATTGGGCGTCTGCCTTTGGCTTGTGTGGTGATCCCGGGGTCCTCGGATCGAGTCCCGCGTCAAGCTGCCTTGCTCAGCATGGAGCCTGCTTCTCCCTCTCCCTCCGCCGCTCCCCCTGCTTGTGTGTTCGCTCTCTCTGACAAATAAATGAATAAAATCTTAAAATAAAATAAAATGAGTTCTTTACATAAAGGCCTTCAATGATAATAGCTCAGAGACACAGTTTACTTTTGGTACTTCGAGAAAGTCCGGCAGGAACCATTTATATATGTTACATCCAGTTACATCAGTCGCTCCGATCGATGGTTTAAAAACTGAACTGCGCTAGGTCTGGATAACAAGACAACAAACATCTTGGCAAGGAGAACCCCACACCCATGTGTCCTCTTTGGTGTGAACGGGTCTCTGGGTCTTCTTCTTTCTTCTCCTCCTCTTCCTCTTCCTCCCAGCTTACCTAATTCAGAGCGGCTTGAGCGCAGTATTGTAGCTCGTAGCTCGCGTCCCATAAACCGGCCCCGCACGTTTTGCGCTGCCGAGTATTTACAATTATGTGTCGTGTCGGGCATTCTGCCGCAAAGCCATAGAAAAGCGGGACGCAGATCTCCGCGCCGGAGCGAAGCGAAGGGATCGGGAACGTGGGCTCGGGGCCGTTCGCGCGGCTCTGGCTTCAGGCGCCAGCTGTGCGGTCTAAATCGACGTCGTGCCCGGAGACTGACCGCGTGTCGGGGTCGGCGTTAGCGTCCCGTGATTCTGTCACCGGGCTGGGGTCGGAGATGGGCCAGGGGAGGCAGGGCTGGGAGGCCCATCCGCAGAGGTTCTGGCGTCACAGGGAGACGCGCGAGGAGGCTGCGGCATCTGTGCTCGCGGGAGGCGGAAGTTCAGGGAGGAAAGAAGGAGCGAAACGGCTCGGTGACTGGCCCTGTCTGCTTCTCCTAGAGAGCCATGTCCTGCCACCGAAGCCAGCTGCTCTGGTTCCGCCGCCTCTACGTGCTCTGCTCTAGGTACATGAGAATCAACTCCCTGCACTTCCTCTGAAGCCTGCACGAGTCTTCTGGGCCAAGGAATCCACAGGGAGAAGCAAAGCCCGGGAATCTGGGGCCCGGCCTTGAGCCGGCTGAGCAGCCTGAACCAAAGGAGAGCCCGCTGTGCGCGGGAGGCCTTCCTTCCAGAGCTCTGCGGATCCGCGGCCGTGCGGGCCAGTGGGTTGTCCCAACGTCGGCTTCTTCCTCCGGGGAAAGACACCCCACAGCAGCCCAAACCAAACCAACCCGAGGACAATAACAGCTTCCCTGCCAGGTTCTCAAGGGCGGAAAAACGGGCTCCATAATGGCACAGTGCATGTCCGACACCTAGCACAGAGCCTGCTATGATTATAAATGCTCCTACAAGTGCTCTGAGATCGCTCCACAGGTGCCACGATGCTGTATTTTTATGTTGTTTCCAAAGCGGGCTCACCACACACACACACGCGCGCGCGCGCGCGCGCACGCACGAATGGTCTATATACTGAATGAGTTCAACCATGATTCCTTTGATTCACACTGTGGCCTCTGTATCAGATTTGAATCCAGGGGAGGCTTCTCTATTTAACCTCACTAGTCGTTAAATTGACTGGGGCTCCCAAAGTCCGACCACGATGCCCAGCATTTCCTACTGAGACTATTAAGATGTGGGCCCTGCCCCGAAGGAGCTTACAATCAAATGTCTCAGTTCCCGGTCCTTTGAGGGAAGCAGGAAATAGGAAGGGAAATCTGGAAGTCTTGTGTGGGGGGTTTTTTGGTTTTGTTTTTGTTTTCTTTTAACACTCAAAAAACTGATGTCTTAAAATTGTGCTACAGACAAAAGCAGTCTGAGGGGTCTGCCTTGGAAGCTACTCCCGTGGTCCAGCTAACAGCCCAGGGAAGTGGCCTGAGGCAGGCAAGCTCAGTGGTCAAGGCACAGGCTTCGCATACTGGTATGAGGCCAGATTTACCAGCCACGTAGCCGCGGACCAGGTGTTTAAACTTTCTCTGACTCAGTTTTCTCGTGCGCAAAATGGAGCATAGCCATGGTACCAACCTGAGAGGAGATGAAGCCTGGTGGGCGCCCAGTGAAGGGCCTGGCACACAGTCAGGGCTCAGGAAGGATGAGCTGCTGGTGTTCTGAGATCTACGGAATACGCAGGCCTAACGCAGAGGGACTCTCAGAAGTTGAAGTCCCGACACAAAAGGGACCCTGGTATGTGTTGTCCAGAGAGTATCCTCTCCGCCCGCTGGAGGAAGGCCTGCATTGCTGTCTCTATAGCAACAGGTTATTTTTTTTTTAAGATTTTATTTATTTATTCGACAGAGAGAGACACAGCGAGAGAGGGGACACAAGCGGGGCAGAGGGAGAGGGAGAATCGGACTCCCCGCTGAGCAAGGAGCCCGCCGCGGCACTCTATAGCAACAGGTTAGAGACCTGCTCTCTCGAATGCCTCCTAGGGGCCAAATGGGACTGACCGAGCTATCAGGCCCTGAAGCTAGAGTCGAAATGCAAGTCTGGTTATGTTATCTGTCTACTGAAAATCTGTCAATAGCTCCTAATGTCTTCTATAGAAACTGTGAGAAAAAAGCAGCCGCTGATGCTGGGGGGGGGGGGGGGCGGGGACAAGCTGCCTCCCGTCCTGTTCCTGAGAAGACAGGCACTGGACCAGCCTCTCCAGACTGCAAGTCGCAATCTGTATTAAGAGCTTATAAAATACCCAAACCCTGTGACCTAAGGAAATACTTTAAAAATTAAAATTATAATTATATATACAGACATTATCACAGTATTATTTATAATAACACAATTCGAAAAATCCAGGGATGCAATCATATTTAGTAACAAGGAAGAGTGTTTATGATATATTAAATTTTAGAAAGCAGGTTAAGAATGGTACAATCTCATTTTAGTTAAACATACACACACAAATAAATATGTGTGGGTCTACACACACATAAAAGTGTATATATAGAGAGCAATAGATATACAGAGATACATATCCAAAAGGTAATTACTGGGGTGTCTGGCTAGCTCGGTTGGTAGAGCATGGGACTCTTGATCTTGGGGTATCTTGAGTTCAAGCCCTACATTGGGTGTAGAGCTTGCTTTTATTTTTTTTTTTAAAGAGGTAATTACTAATTAGTAAGGTCATCTTTCTAAAGTGAACATTTATAATTTTAAAGGATTTTATTGTTGTTTATGAATAGTTTTGATATGATTAAGCACTTTTTAAAAAAAGATATTTATTTATTTGACAGAGAGAGAGACAGCGAGAGAGGGAACACAAGCAGGGGGAGCGGGAGAGAGAGAAGCAGGCTTCCCGCCGAGCAAGGAGCCCAATGCGGGGCTCGATCCCAGCACCCTGGGACCATGACCTGACTGAAGGCAGATGCTTAACGACTGAGCCACCCAGATGCCCCTAAACACTTTTGATATAATGTAAAGCTAAAAAAATGTGTACAGCCAAGGGCGCAGGGGTGGCTCAGTCAGTTAAGCATCTGACTTCAGCTCAGGTCATGATCTCAGGGTCCTGGGATAGAGTCCCACATCAGGCCCCCCCTGCTCTGGGCTCCCCCTGCTCCTCGGGGAGCCTGCTTCTCCCTCTCCCTCTGCCTGCCACTCCCCCTGCTTGTGCTCTCTCTCTGTTAAGTAAATAAATAAAATCTTTTAAAAAAAAAAAAAGGAAATGCGACCATTTGTGGGGAAAAATATTTATGTCTACACATCCAATTTCGTGTAAATAAATGGGATATTTCTGGTAACTGCTTGTCTGAAAAGGGAAATTGGGTGGGAGCAGGGAAAGGAGACCTTTTTTGGTCCCTTTTGAATTTTATACCATGCACATATATTCCCTATTCATAAATACTTTCAAATCTTAGAGGTTAGAAAGCTCTGTAGAATCATCAATAGTCGTTACTTCTGAGTGGTGGGATTGGAGTTATTTTCTGCTTTTTGTTTTACTGCACAGGCCGGCTATGTCTTTGTAAATAAATTAGTAAAAGTCTAGGTGGAAATGAAAACAAACTAACATTTTTATTTCCTGGTGCCCGGGGCTGGATTTTGGTCCCCGTTGCTGGAGGGCAAGCTCCCCCTCCCTGGCTCTCTCCATCCCAACACCCTCGGGGGGCCTTGCAGAGCCTGGGGCTCCTGAAGCTGCAGGCTCCCCTCAGGGTTCCCAATGGGAACAGAGCTAGGTTCTCCGTGGTGCCTGGAAAGAGCACTGGACAGCAGCACGGGAAGGAAGGATGCCCCTCAAAGCTTCGCTCAGGTTAGGGAAAGGTGCCCTCCGTGGGCAGCATAGCCCTGGGGACACTTGGCAAGAATGCCTCTGTGCAAATTGTCAGAAAGCAGCCCTTCCCCCAGGCAGACATATGCCCGCACCAGAGCACAGCCTGGTGAGAGGAGCTCGGACTACCAACTCCGCCCCCTGAGCCACACACTTGTATAGTTAACAACCTGCCAAACTGTACAACAGCCCTGAAGCCTAGAGCAAAGATCAGATGTTGGTGGTTTCTTCAAGGAGCAAGGCAAGAAAAGAAGGAAGGAAGTGGGGGCAGGGGGGGAAGGGAGGGAGGCAGGCAAAGGGGAGGGAAGGAAGGGGCCAACCGCGCGCACGCACGCGTGCACACACACACACACACACACACACACACACACACATGATCTCAACTAAGAATTCCCTGGGAAGCGGCTGTCTCTACCTGTCCAGACACACACACACACACACACACACACACACAAACACACACAAGCGGCTGTCTCTACTCGTCCAGAGTCCTGGGAGGCCGGCTGGCTCGGGGTGGGCGAGCTGCTCCTGTTCCCTGCGGCTGGGGGAGGGTCACCCCGTGTCAGAGAGACCTGCGGGCCTCTCACGGGGGCTGAAGAGAGGGCCCATGGTTTGCCAGTTCTCCGCCCTGGCCCAGAAGAACAGAAACCGCCTGGTCTCCCACCGCTCACTGCTCCAGACCAAGGGTGAGCAGACCCAGTCCGAAAGGGGAACCCTCTCCCAAGAGGGCTCCCAGGGAAAGGAAGTCCCACCTGCACAGTGGGCAGCCCTCTCCACAGGAGCGGTTAATGGGAGACTTCATCAAAAACAACAATGAAAGCTCAGGTCCTGGTCCAGACAAAAAATTCTTTTTCTCAGGAGTGGCCAAATTAGTAATCTGGAACATCAGGTAGAAGACATATCTCAGAACCTAGAGTGCATTTAGCTCGGAAATGGAAATCATGATGGAAAAGGAACTTGAAAAATACATCTAAGGGGAAAAAAAGAAAAAAAAAAAAAAGAAAATCCGGGGCACCTGGGTGGCTCAGTCGGTTAAGCGTCTGCCTTTGGCTCAGGTCATGATCCTGGGGTCCTGGGATCGAGCCCTGCATGGAGCTACCGGCTCAGTGGGGAGCCTGCTTCTCCCTCTCCCTCTGCTGCTCCCCCTACTTGTTCTCTCTCTCTCTGTCAAATAAAGAAATGAAATCTTGAAGAAGAAAAAAAGAAAGAAAGAAAATCCAGGAGACCTAACATGTGAATAATGGGAGTTCCAGAAGGAGAAATAGTTACAGATGGGGGATAATAAAGGAGAATTTACATAATCTGAGACTTGAGTCAGTGCATCAGAAGGGCTCACCATATTCTAGCCAGCTGTGACTTTTTTAAAAAGAAACACACGGGGGCGCCTGGGTGGCTCAGTCCATTGATCTCAGGGTCCTGGGAGGGAGCCCCGCCAGGCTCCCTGTTCTCCCTCTGCCTCTGCCCCTCTCCCCACCCCACACCCCCATCTCCGCAGGTGCTCTCTCTCTCTCTCTCAAATAAATAAATAAAACCTTAAAAAATAAATTAAAATAAAAAGATGCTCACGTGTGCTGCAAAATCCTAGATTTCAAGTGCGGGGAGGGGATAAAAATATTGCAAAGGTCTCCCCTGGGTTCAAGGGAAAGCTCGGAGAAGCATCTTGACATAGACAAGTCCGGGGACTCCGTCTGGGTTTGCAGGATGGGAAAGGTCACCACCTGCAGCGCTGAACAATGCAGAATCCCAATTAACTAAGGAGAAAAGAGGAAATGAAGAGAAACTTAGAAGCCTGCAAAAGTAAGGAGAAAAAAAAAAGGAAGACAGGAAACAAAGCATAAAGTGTAACAAATACAATGGAAATGATATAAAAAGAATCAAATCAGGTATCAGTTACTTCAAAAAAAAAAAATTGAATGGGCTAATTTCTGTACCAAAACTGAGTTAGAAAACAAAATCTAGCATCTAGAAGTGACAAAGTGGCTAAAAATAAAAGGATGAGTCACTTACCATATACCAAGCAAAGGCACACGAGAGAGTGACAACACACATCCAAGCATCTAAAAGCATTAAACCTTGAACAATGGGGGATATTTTAGATGGGTACCAGAGTCACTCCGTGAGAAGAGATGCACCAAATATCATAGCAGCCAGATACTTGCAACAAACTCTCAGAAATCCAAGTTCTTTACTTGATTTTATTTAGGGTGCCTGGATGGCTCAGTCAGTTAAGCGTCTGCCTTCCACTCAGGTCATGATCCCGGGGTCCTGGGATCAAGTCCCATATTCGGCTCCTTGCTCAGCGGGGAGCCTGCTTCTCCCTCTGCCTGCCGTTCCCCCTGCTTGTGCTTGCTCTCTCTCAGTTAAATAAATAAGATATTTTAAAAAATAAAATAAGACTTTATTTCTTTATTTGAGAGAGAGAACAAAAGTGGGGAGGTAAGGGGCAGAGGGAGAGAGAGAACCAGGCTCTCCGCCCAGCAGGGAGTCCTCCACGGGTCTCAATCCCAGGACCCCTGAGATCATGACCTGAGCCAAAGGCAGACGCTTAACTGACTGAGCCACCCAGGTGCCTCCCCCCACAGGTTCTTTCTTTCTTTCTTTTTTTAAAGATTTTTATTTATTTATTTGACAGTGAGAGACACAGCAAGAGAGGGAACACAAGCAGGGGGAGTGGGAGAGGGAGAAGCAGGCTCCCCGCCGAGCAGGGAGCCCGATGCGGGACTCGATCCAGGGACTCGATCCAGGGACTCCAGGATCATGACCTGAGCCGAAGGCAGTCGCTTAACCAACTGAGCCACCCAGGCGCCCCATAATGGAAGGCTTTATATTTTTTCAGAATGTTGACAAATCAAGTTGGCAAAAAGTAAAGCCACAGCATATGGATAATATAAGGAACTTAAAGTCAGCATTCACTTCTTAGGTATAAAACATTTACAAAATTCAATTATTGATCGGCCCCTGAGAAATCCCTAATAAATTTCCCCAAGTAGATTTTGCACATTTTTTATCATAATCAAATAGATTTCAATAAGTTTATAAAATGAGGGGTGCCTGGGTGGCTCAGTCAGTTAAGCGACTGCCTTGGGCTCAGGTCATGATCTCAGCGACCTGGGATCCAGCCCGACATCAGGCTCTCTGCTCAGCAGGGAGTCTGCTTCTCCATCCCCCCGACCCCCCATTCATGCTTGCTCTCTGCCGCTGAAATAAATAAAATCTTTTTTTTTTAAGTTTGTAAAATGACCCAAAAACTCTACTTAGAAACCAAGAAACATCCTCCAAAATGACCTCCAGATCAAAGAGAAAATTACAAATTATCTAGAAGGTAATAAAAATTACACTTTGTATGGGACCTATATTCAGGTAAGTTGTACTCTTTTGTTTTTTAAGAAGATTGAAATTAGTGAACTACGTGATTCAATTTAAGGAAATCAATAATATAAACCAAGCAAAAGTAGCAGGAGGGATTTAATACAGATGAAAGAGAAAAATAAATAA